GGCTAGGACTTGGGCATGTCACATTAGGAAGATCTGCTGTGCTATGTGCATCCAGCCTGCCCTGGCTCTCGCTGGCTGCACATGCCTGTTTCTGTCCCGGCTGTTCTGGGTAGCACCTCCCCTGCATGGAGGCCCCACACTGGGGCATCCCTGGTAGTGAGGGCCCTGCCTTGAGGGACTGTCTATAGCTCCGGCTGGCATGGGGTATTTATTCCAAGATCCAGGCAGATGTGGTGTGTCCCTGCAGCCAGGCAGGGCTTCTTGCTTGTTGAAGGTTGGTCTGCACCACAGGCTCAGGGGTTGTCAGGCCCTGGGCCTAGTGGCCCAACTTCCTCCAGGCTGCAAGTGTCCTGGCTGTGGCAACTGCAGGTTTTATGACTGACACCCCCTGTAGTGTGTTCTCACTGGATGTATTCATGAGGGACCCTGCCAAGAACAAATACCAACTCTGATTTCCCAGCCCTGGATGGCTGAGTGGGATCTGGACCTCCTGTTGCTCCGCCCGGCCTGCATGGGCACCCCACTAGGGCCTTGTTCCAGCCACTTAGGGCTTAACATGGGCCTGGGGCACTCTCTGGAGAAGCCAGCAGGGTCAGCCCTCTAGCTTGCGGTGTTTCCTTTGTGGGTTTTAAGCAGAGTAAACCCCCCACGTCCCCTGGGAATCAGCCCCTTTCTTCACGTTTGTGGCACTGTGTGAGATACATTTGGTTTTGGCCTGTTTCCTGTCACTGAGCTCCAGCATCCTGAGTCTCCTAAACTTTCTCCCAGTAGGGAAAAGAGACCGTTAAGTAGCATAGATGCTGTCATCCTGCATCAGCCACAAGCTCCAAGGGGACACAGGGATGTGGCTCTCCATGGGGACCACCAGCCCATGAGAGGACAGAGCCCTCTCAGGCTGCTCCTGGTACTGGCAGGGCCTCTGCCTGACTCAGTTTTGGGTCTGTACCTTCTACGAGGCCTATCTGTGATGTCCCTGCAAACCTGGCCCAGCAGCTCTTACATAGTCAGTTCAGCCAGGGCTCCCGCTCAACCTCCTCTCGGCTCCTCCTCCACCTCTCCAGCTGGTTACCGGTCCCTTGGCCTGTCTCCAGCAAGCACCCTGCTGAGTTCCCTCACTCTGGGTATCTCCTCTGGGTCATGTTTCATCCCTAGCCCACCTGCTGTGTGGTGACAAGTTCCCATGTGGCAGGTGATACTCGGGGTGAGCCTGGTCTCTCTCCCCAGGGCAAGACCCCATGGGGTGGGGTGCTCCCTGCACGCATCACTCAGTGGTCATGGATAAAGTCTGCCTTACCATCTGTTAACACACAGTGCTGGGCAATCATTGACTTTAAACTCCATTCGTGTGGTGCAGGCCACTGGCCAAACTGCACCCAGGTGCCCAAGCCCCAGACACAGGGTGAGCCCCCCATCTTCCTCATGGGCCATGGAGCATGGGCACCCATTTCAGCCACATATACAGGAGCATCGCCACACGTGGTGTGGACTGCGGTGCTCACCCCATGCCACAAGCACTAGCCACTGCCATGACACAAAGACCAGGCAGACTGACGTAGCTCCGAAGGCACAGCAGTTCTGCTCATTGCCACCACCAGCCCTGACACACTGATGTGAACATTCACTCACTCTGCTGTCACCAAGAGAGTGGTCTCAGTAATGCCCAGACCCTCCTGCAGAGGGACAGACACAAGTACTCAACTCACTGGACAGAGCAGCAACAGTGTCCAGCAGGACAAAGAAATGAGAGCCCCTCTGGGGTGGCATCACCAGGGGGACTCAGCCTCTGGGACATGGACCAAAATTACTCTGTGAGCCAGGACACAGACAGGGTGCTTACCCAGGCTGCCCCCGACAAGGGGGACTCACCCTCACCCTCTGAGACGTGGACCAAGAGTACTGTCTGGGACAGGGCAGGGACATTTCTGCCTTGCTGGTCTGTTCCCTTTCTCCAGCAGGTGGCCCTGTCTGCGTGGAGGCTGCAGGGAGCTGTTGGCCTGCAGGCTTGAGCAGGGCTCCCTCTGTGTGAGAGTCTCCTGATTCCTCCATAATGTGCTAGAATTTATGTGGCATGGAAATACTTAGGGGCAATGTTAGGTGTCCTCTTAGCACCAGAAGGGGAGGAACAGCTGGGCCCTGAAGGCACCAGGCAGTACCTGGGATTCCTTAGAGGTAAAGCTGTAAGGCTGAGTCTGGCACCCACTTTTGCCTATGTGGGCTCACCCTTGTCTCTGTGAGGTCAGGCTGCTGTCTCATGGGGATGCCTGGTATCCTGCATCTGGGGTCCTTGGAGGATTGTCTGTGGTGCAGGTGTGTCTGTGCTCAGGCCACTGGTCCTACAGGCCACAGGAGGCCTGGACAGTTGGCCATTGGGCAGCAAGAGCTGTCCCTTGGACCAGATCATGCACAAAAGCCCCCACTCTCAAGGACCAGAGTTCCCCTGAGCCATCTGCTTCTTGTAGAGCCTCTGCCAGCCAGGGGGATACCTTGCTCCACTAGTGCAGCAGGAGTAACCTGCTCAGAGCCAGAGCAGGTGGACCAGAGCCAAGCCCTGTCTGGTGCCTCACAGGAGAGGCAGCAGGTGCCACCATCTGACGAGCACCGTGCCCTTCCTTAGCTAGGTCTGCTCCAGAGAAGACTCACAGGGCTGAAAGGCACCAGCAGCTTCTGCCTTGATGTCCTTCAGGCAGATGGAAGTCCTCATAGAGTGTCATCAGGGATGTCACCCTGGTGAGACACTAGCACAGAGGCCAGGCTGAGGGCCCACTCACACTGTCCCTCTCAAGAGTACATGCACAGATGTGCACTGGTACAGTTGTGCATGTGTGCCCCACACAACCCACATGCAACTCATGTGCAAGCACCTCTACACACAGCTGCATGCACACTCATGCATGTAGGCATGCACACACATGCACACATACTCACACCACACCCACCCTCATATCACAACCACCAACACTCACTCACACCACACCCACCCACGCTCATATCACAACCACCAACACTCACACCACACCCACACACATGCATGCACACACACTTGCACACTCATGCCACACTCACACATGCATGCACGCACACACTACACCTGCCTACACACATGCACACTAGCATACACATGAAGGAAAGAAGTGACTGGGCTATAGGACTTGGGCCTGGGAAACTGACTCTATGTGCAGGCTCCCTGATGTCGCTGTGGTGAGCACCTTCACACCCCACAAGTATTTCATGTAAATGGGTCCTTCGCAGCCGTGGCCCCACATGGACTCAAGAGGCTATATCAATATCGAGACATGAAGAAATTAGTGTTTAATTCTGGCTTTCTTTGGTTGAATGGTGAGGTCCTCTTTGCTCAGTGGGAGTGAGGGCAGAAAGGATGGGCAGGACTGCAAGGGCCAGGGATAGCAGCCTCGCTAGCCCCCAGCCCGACCCAGGACACAGAAGCAAGGACCACACACCAAGGTGCCCCCTGCCCACATCGGTGGCAAGGAACACACAGGGATGCCATTGACCAGACTCACAAAGGACAGACAATGCAAAATACTGGATTTTTATCTGGACAGTTCTACTGTGTATACACAGCATAGCGGCGGTTTCTGGGTCATATCAGCTATGGGAGCAGGTGAACGGGGGACAGTGATGGAAACAGAACCGCTTGGCGGTCATTTGATTGCTTGTCTGGTTGACCTGTAAAGACACATGGGTCTGTGGTGGGTGGAGCATGGGGTGGTGAGCTACACCACCACTGTTAGTTCACAAACACCCCAGGGAGCAAGGCTCCTTGTACTCAGATACTGAGCATCAGCTGTCTGGAAAGCACCCCATGCCCTCCTCCAAGGTGTGCAGCAGGGAGTTCCCCTGCTGTGTCCCTCCCCACCCAGATGGCAGAGCACACTGACACGTCTGTGACACTGTCTGCATGAAAACACAGTGCTTAGGGAGTGTGTGCATGTGTGTGGAAAACAGTGCCTCTGAGTGTGTACACGTGTGTGGTGTGCACATTTGTGTACATGTGTGTATGTGGACCTGTGCAAATTTGCCACAGATAGGGAGGAGAGGAGGAGAGGGGGAAGAGACAGCTGTGCACAGTCTCACATGCATGTTCCTTTGGACACATGGGCTCCTGCCTTATGGGGCTCCCTTGCACAGAAGGCTGGGCCACCTGCTCTCACAGAAGTCCTGTTGTCACCAACATCTGTCCTTTGAGGCAGGGCTCTGTGCCCAGATGTTCATGGAGCTGCAACTAAAGGGAAGGGACTTTGTCCATGATGACCATCCCACTCGGCAGCTCCTCTTCTTCTGTGAATAGGAGTTATCTCTTCCCCAAGCGCCCCACTGGAGAGGCATCCAGCCCTGGGGGTGGCTGGTTTTGTAAGTTGAGTGTATGAAAGAACAGTTGGGCATCTTCCCAGGGTATGGGCCCTGAGTGCCCTCTCCCTAGTGACACCAAGTCTGCATCCTCCAGTGTCTGCACAGTTCTTTAGCCTGCTGGTGGCCAGAATTGACAGTGGACACGAGGCTGGCAGAGAGGCCAGGGGTTCCCCAATGAAGATGAAGGGCAGTTTGGACATGGGACAGGGAGAGGCTCACAGCCAGAGCACTGGGGCAGCCAGGCTGCCAAGCCAGGGACAGAGCCTAAGACACATGTGGGACACAAGGGACACTAGAGGGAGCCTCTCTGAGGCTGGGTCAGCAGGGGGCCAGGGCTCCACAGGCCTCAGACACAGTGTGGAGCCACTGGAGGGGGTTCCCTTTGACAGAATCCCGGGACTGGATGCTGTCCAGAGGGTGTGACTGTGGGTGGACAGGCAATCTGACCTTGGGATCAGCAGAGGTGGGCATGGCAAGAGTGTTTTTTTCCCTTGCTAGGCTCTTTCACAGGGAAGAGTCAGCTGGGGGTGTGAACCACTTCTGAAAGGGCTGGCCACTTTGGTGAACCCCCACAGGCCTCACGTGGCAGACAGCTCTGAGGCTCCTCCAGGGACAAGACCACCCCCAATCTACACTGTAGTTTCGTTTTTCCAGGGCCCCGTTCGGATGTTGCCCGTCCGGTCGGTGCCGAATGGCAGGCATTCTTGCAGGTCCCCCTGGAGCAGCCCATTCTGGCCAGGACTCCCGAAGGGCAGAGACTGTGTCCTCCGGAGCATCTCTAAGTGGCCAGGGCCAAGGGCTGCCTCCCTGCCCAGCCTTGAGGGGCAGCCATAGAGGACAGCGCTGTCACTCTCTGGCTGGCTGACCAGGGGGAAAGGGTCACCCTGGGCACAGCAGGCCAGCGCGTGAGCCCCCGCTGGGACCTCCAGCGAGCTGGAGGGGCTGTCTGTGCGTGAGCTGTGGGGGCTGCCGTCCAGGCTGGAAGGGATGTGATAGGCGTACTCCAGCTCGGTGGACGTCCGGGGCCGGCTGAAGTAGTGTGGCTTAGTTCTGCCCTTAAGGCACCTGTGCAGATGGGGGTCGTGCCTGAAGGCATCCTCCTCATGGAGGTGTGAGTGGGCCTCCTCCTCCATCAACTGCTCGCAGTGCATCTGGGCGCAGCACGGGGTGGCTGGCGACAGGCAGCTGACGTGGCCCTGGGCGGCCTGCAGATTGGTCATCTTGCAGTGGCCAGGCGTGTGGCTGAAGCCCCGCAGCTGGCCGAGGCATGGCGCATCCCCGTTGGCGTGGAGCGCTGCGCGAGTCCCTGGCTCTGCGGCAGGGCCGTCGGTGCGGGAGGGGCAGCAGGCCCACCAGCATCGCCACACATCCTCCCGCTTGGCACAGTGGTGGATGAGCACGAAGAGCCCCAGTGTCACGCAGAAGGCACCATACAGGCAGCTGAAGACCATGTCCAGGAAGTGGCCCTGGGACACGGCTAGCGCTCCAAAGGCCCAGGTGGCAGCGAACAGGAACAGCGTGAAGGCGGCGGCCCGCAGCTGGGCCTGCAGCGAGTGCTCATTCTGCAGCAGCGAGGCGGCGGGGACGTCGCGGGCTGGCGGAGAGCAGGGCCGCGCCACCCTCAGGCCGCCCTCAGGCCCCGCCAGCCGCTGAGTCTCCTCCGTCCGCGCCCGCAGCTCATACCTGCGCTCTGGGTGGCGCCGGAGCTGCACATAAGTGCCAAGCAGGTACACGCAGGTGACCAGGGCAATGAAGGCGGCCGGCCCATAGAAGGCGCCCAGGCTGGGTTCCCAGGCCATCCAGCAGCTGTGGGGAGACTCGCATCAGGCGGGCCGGCTGCGGCGGAAACTCCGCCTCCGTGCATCCAGACTGGGGAGCCTCCAACCCAGCCTGAGGCCTGGCCCAGGCGTGGCAGCTGTACAGGACTGGACCCGCCCACAAGTGGCCTAGGCCAGCCGCCCACCTGCCCTGAGACGGTCTGTGTCCAGTGTCTATGGGAGGGCAGGGCAGCCACAGGAAGGTGACCTGGGCTAGCTTGGGCGGAGGCACCCTGGGTTTGCCAGGCTGGACAGGCCCGGAGGATGGATCTGGGTGGGTGAAGCCAGGTGTGTGGGGGGATGGCATGGGTAAGGGGGTCCTGGGGAGAGAGGGCGGGCAAGCAGCAGGTGTTCCTGGTGTCCTGGGCAGCACGAGAAGGAGGTGGCATCCAGGATGGTGAGGAATGTTGGAGGTGGGCTAGGTTGGATCTGTCACTACTCAGGGATGGGGCTTCCATTCTTAGCTGAGCTCAAATTGCTTTTGTCTCCCAAGCTTTTTTTTTTTTTTTTTTGAGACAGAGTCTTACTCTGTTGCCAGGGGTAGAGTGACATGGTCAGCCTAGCTCACAGAAACCTCAAACTCCTGGGTTTGATCCATCCTCCTGCCTCAGCCTCCTGAGTAGGTGAGACTACAGGTGCCCACCACAAGGTCCAGCTAGTTTTTCTATTTTTAGTAGAGATAGGTCTCACTCAAAAGAGACCTACTTGTTCAGGTTGGTCTTGAACTTCTGAGCTCAAGTGATCCTCCTACCTTGGCCTCCCAGAGTGCTGGGATTACAGGCATGAGCCCCTGTACCTAGTTCCTCAGCCCCTTCTTTTCTAAGGAAAACCCAGCCTCCCATGTCCACAGGAAGAGATTATGGGGGAAACTAAGTCTTTAGAGAGGAAGGGCTCCACATATCTGTGGGCAGCACAGGCAGAGTAAGGTCACAGCCTGGGTGATCATTCCAGGTTGGGGCCAAGACTGGTTGCTCTACCTCATGAGATCCCTCACAGCAGCACCTGGACAGTTAGCAGGTAGCTGGACCCCTGCCCAGGTGGGCCTCAGCTCAGGGTCCACAGGCAGAGAGTGACAGCCTTCCTTGGCTGCCCTCCTCTGGGCAGGTGGCCCACTCTCCACAACCCCCACCCCTGGTGGCCCTGTACTCACTATGCAGTATCCTCGTCCTCTGTCCCGTAATTCCTGATGTTTGTGGCAGCTGTGACGCCACAGATGATGAACGGAACCCCTCCGCTGACGAGATAGAACCTGTCAGAGAGCAGAAGGTACCTGAGTCCTCGAGAAGGACAGCACTACCCTTCCCACCTTCCTTGGTATGAAGGAGAGGCCAAGCATCGCATCTTCATCAGACTGGCACCAGCAACCACCCAGGAGCCCAGGGCCACCTCTCTTTGCCTCCTGTTGGCTGCAGCATGCCCAGAGGATCCTGGACAGGCCCTGGTGCTTTGGGTGTGTTCTGGTTCCCACTGTACACTCAATATGGACAATAGGAAGGCCCTGGGGGAAGGCAGCACAGACACTGAGGGGTCACATGCACCCACAGTGTGAGGACTGGACCCCAGTGGATGCTGACTGGGGTCACCTGGGCCACTTCAGGGTCCCAGATCATGCCTCCTTCCCAAGGGCAGCCTATGTCCAGTGACTATGCAGTGCAAGAGTTTTAAGGCCCCACTCATAGCCTCAGGAGGAAAAACTTGGAGGGACCATCCAGCTCCTTATCAGACCCATGCAGCCTTTCTGTGTCCAGCTGCTTGGGGGCTGCACACATTTGACCTCGTGTCCTGGAGGGGCAGCATTTAATCCTGATAGGAGCTGACCTACTGGGCAGGAATGGGCTGACTTTCCCTTCCACTGGGCCTCAGCCAACAACTCCAGTGACAGAGTTCAAGTGTCTGACCCTGGACACAGGATGACATGCATCTGAGGACCTGGAGCTACACCAAGTTCACCACCTATGCACAGACCACAGGCCATGCTCCCCTGTCACATGTGCTACCACCCACAGCTGGCAGACCCACATAGCCATGCTGGCCCACAGCTGCCAGTCCCACAGAGCCATGCTGGCTGTCACACGTGCTGCCCCCCACAGCTACCAGCCCCACAGAGCCATGCTGGCCCACAGCTGCCAGCCCCACAGAGCCATGCTGGCCCATAGCTGCCAGCCCCACAGAGCTATGCTGTCTGTCACATGTGCTGCCCCCCACAGCTGCCAGCCCCACAGAGCCATGCTGGCCTGTGGAAGGGGCCAGCTCGGAGAGGATTCCTCATGAACAGGATGCTTTTCCTCTGGATATCTATCACAAACTCCTCAAGTTGGCCCATGTCCTTGGCAAGCACTGTAACATGTACTCCAGATCCAAGGGTGGGGGTAGGTGGTTCCACTTAGGGTCACTCTCCATGAAACCCTGGGAATCTGCTTCCCAGAATTCTATATCCCAAGAAATTATTAATATCCTTCAAGAATAAAGGTGAAATACGGACTTGAAGATAGAAATAAGACTAAGAGAATTTGCCATCAGAAAACCTGTACTTTAAGAAATGCTAAGTGAAAATTTTCAGGTCAGGGAGATATTGTACCAGAGGGAAACTTGGGTCATTAGAAAGGAATGACGAACACCAGGAACCCTAATTACCAAGGTAATACAAAACATTTTGTTTCTTCTTAACTTCTTCAAAATACATGTGACTGTTTAAAGAAAGAGTTTTAACATTGCCCTGTGGAGTTCATAATGGGTGATCTATGTGTATCTGTGACATAAAGGACAGAAGATGGTTCTATGTAGTTGTCAGGTTCCTACATATTTTTATGTGGAACAGTACAAATTTTTCTCTCAGTAGACTGTGAAAAGGTTGTGGGCTTTAAATGCTAAATGATGATAATTAAAAACACAAAAATATCACTAGCTAATAGAGAAATTAAAACAAAAATGTAAAAAATATTAAAATAATCCAAACGAAGGGAAGTAAAGGAAGAATAAAAACCAACAAAACAACAACAAAAAGAGGAAAAAAAAGAAAACAAGTAGTCAAATGGAGAGCTGACACCTGGTCAGTTTCCATTCTGCTTTTTCCCTCTATTAAAGTCTTTCCTTGAAAAACAAACAAACAAACAAACAAAAATAAGTAGTCACATGGAGACTAAGTCCAACCAATTCAAAATTACATAAACTTTAATGGACTAAATACTCCTCCTCAAAGGCAGACATTGTCAGAATAGCTAAGAAAGGAAGACCTAGTTATGCGCTGTTGGGAACAGAAACACCCTCAGTACAAAGACACAGATAGGTTGGAAGTGAATAGATGGAAAATGCCCTGTGGTGCCTACTGTGAGCCCACAAGAACTAGAGGGGTTACATGACGCCAGAGACAAGGACATAAAGGAGCACTTCAGAATGACATCAGTGTGCTTCTGTCAGGCAGACCGCACAGCCACAGCATGTCTGACAAAGGGTTCAAAATACATGATCCCAGCTGGGCTCAGTGGCTCATACCTGTAAGCCCAGCACTCTGGGAGGCTGAAGCAGGTGGATTGCTTTAGCTTAGTGTTTGAGATCAGCCTGAGCAAGAGCAAGACCCTGTCTATACTAAGAATAGAAAAATTAGCTGGGCATTGTGGTGGGCACCTGTATTCCTAGCTACTTGGGAGGCTGATACAAGAGGATCCCAGGAGTTTGAGGTTGCTGTGAGTTATGAGGATGCCACAGTATTCTACCCAGGGCAACAAAGTGAGACTCTGCCTCAAAACAACCAACCAACCAAATCAATCAACAAACAAAAATAGTCCCCCAAATTGGCAAAATTAAAAGAGAAACAGACAATTCCAAAATCATAGCTGGTGATTTTCACACCCTTCTCTTAGCAACTGATAGAACTACACAGGAATCAGTAAAGAAACAAGGCTGTGGACAATAATGTTGACCACTTTGGTTTAACTGCTCTCATAGGACCTCATACCTAGCAGTGGCATCACATTCTTTTCAAACACACACGGTCTGTTTGTCATGGTGGATGAGACCATGCACCACAAAACAGGTCTCAATAAATGTAAAAGGACTGGAATCAAGACCAATCAGAATATATTCCCTGATGATAATTAAATGAGAAGTTAACAACAAGGTTACTAGGAAAACCCAAATATTTGTTATGGAGCAAGGAAGATACCCCAAGGGGATTTAGAAAGTATTTAAAGAACGATAAATAACATACAACATAATCCAGATTTCTGGAATGTAGCTAAAGTAGGTCTTAGAGGGAAATTTATAGCTTTAAGCAGAAAAAAGGAAAAACCTAAAATTTAGTAACCTAAGAATCTGCCTTAACAAAGTAGAAAAATAAAAGATCAAAGTAGGTACAAAGTAACTGGAGGAAGAAGATAATAAAGATAAGAGCAGAAAAAATAATTTTAAAAACACAGTTAAAATTACCCAAACCAAGCATTGTTTTCTGAAGAAAAATCAACAAAACTACAAACTCTTAGCTAGACTTAACAAGAAAAGAGAAGACAAATAAGCAGGCTGTAGCAGGAAAGAGCCATTATCACTACATATCCCTCAGAGACTAAAAGAACAGTAGGCCTATATTATAAATAACTGTATTCCAAAAAACTTGGCAACTTAGAGGAAATGGACAAGTTCCTTGAAAAATAAAAATTACCAAAATAGAACAAAAAGAATCACAAAATTGGAATGTCCTGTATCTAGCAAAAAAAATTGAATTAAATATTTTAAAACATGTAACAGGTTCACAGGTAAGTTTGATCACACATCTAGGGAGAAAATAACACCAGCGTTACATAAGATCTTTCAGACAATATTATGACTAATTCTTGCTCTGCTTAACATTCCAGGTATATCCTGGAAACTCTCTGTTGCTCTGAGAGATAGCCACTGCCCTGTCTATGGGGTAGCCTTCTTTTCTCTCCTCTTCTTCCTTTAATAAACTTGGTTTTGCTTTACTCTATCAGCTTGCTCTTAAATTCTTTCCTGCACGAAGCCAAGAAACTCCTTGGCCTGGTCCCAGGTTGGACCCTAGTTTTGGAGCCCACTTTACTGTGTTATTTGGAAAATAGAATAAGTATGTTATTAACAATGACATAAAAATTCCAATCATAACCCCAGCAGATGGGGTTATGTAAGAGTTTAAAAGTTGATTCCAACATTTATAAGAAAATGTAGAAGACTATTCAATGCCATCTTCAAGGACTCACATTATCTGATTTCAAGACATACTAAAAAGCCACAGTATCAAGACAATGTGGTCCCAGAGAAAGGACAAACTGACAAAGGGAACAGAACAGACCCATGGTTGTCAGGAGTGGTCCAGGGCAGACCCATGGTCATCTAGGAGTGGTCCAGCGCAGACCCACAATCATCCAGGAGTGGTCCAGGACAGACCCATGGTCATTGGAGTGGCCCAGGGAAGACCAACAGTCGTTCGGGAGTGGTCCAGGGCAGACCCTAGTAATCGGATTGCGGGATCATATGGAAGATCAATGACTTTTAGTTCTTTGAGGATTCTCCATACTTCTTTCCATAAAGGTTGTATTAGCTTGCAATCCCACCAGCAGTGTAGAAGTGTTCTCTCCACATCCATGCCAGCGTCTGCAGCTTTGGGACTTTGTGATGTGGGCTAATCTTGCTGGTGTTAGGTGGTATCTCAGAGTGGTTTTAATTTGCATTTTTCTGATGATTAAAGACGATGAGCACTTTTTCATGTGTTTGTTGCCATTTGTCTGTCATCTCAGAGAAGTTTCTGTTCAAATCACTTACCTAGAGGGGGCTATTTGCACTTTTCTTATTGTTTAATTTCAGTTCTCTGTGGATTCTAGTTATCAGGCCTTTGTCAGATTCATAACATGCAAAAATCTTCTCCCATTCTGAGGGCTGTCTGTCTGCTCTGTGGTGCTCTTAGCTATGCAAAAGCTTTTTAGCTTGATCAAGTCCTAGTTATTTATTTTTGGTGTTGCTGCAATTGCTAGGAGGTGTCTTCCTTATAAAGTTTTTCCCAGGCCAATATCTTCAAGTGTTTTCCCCACACTCTATTCTAGAATTTTTGTTGTTTTGTGTCTTAAATTTCAATCTTTTATCCAGTGAGAATCAATTTTGGTCAATGGTGAGAGGTGTGGATCTAGTTTCAGTCTTCTGCATGTGGCTAACCAGTTCTCCCAGCATCATTTGTTAAATAAGGATTCTTTTCCCCATTGCATGTTTTTGTTAGGCTTATCAAATATATATATGTATATATATATA